CATAGGTTACGTTAATGCAGAGGAAGGGGGGAAAAGCAATTTCCGGAAGTATGATTCACCATCTGACGTTGCATATAAGGAAGAAAAGTTGTTTATTTAGTTTCGGCTTTGGTACGGGGGAAAATTGCGCTTCATTAAAAAAAGCACTAAAAGCAAAAAATAAGCACTAGAAACAAAAAAATAAGGGCTTTAAAGAAAAAGTAAGCACCTATAAGGGCCTTTATATTTTATTTTCAAATATAAGGACTTATAAGCACCGCTACGAACCCTGCTACATTTCAATAAATATCAATACATAATAAGATATCTTTATTTCTATTTCCCTGTGTATTGAATCTCGCTTGCTCTTATTGTTGTCAGCTGCTACTTCAAATCATTTAATACTGATGGATTTTCTATCTATGTTGTCTGTTGCAGTTTAGAAGTCATCACCATCCTCACCATTCAGTCTGTCTTGCCACATGCAATGATCTTCAAAACCGTCAAGAGCATTAGATATGCCCATTTTCTTGAAGCTCTTCACCATCATTACTTCATCAATTAGAGCCCATGAAACCAAAATTCACAATCAAATTAACAAGAGAAAAATAACTGCTGTATGGGCAGATTCCTTTTCAAATTTAGAGGAGGAGCTCACTTTCTGAATGCATTGAAGACGCTGAAAATTATAGTTAAAAATTTTTGAAACCTTATACTACGTATGTATATATTGCATTACGAGATGTTTTTATATTACTTTCCACTAACACAAATGTATTATAATTTCAATCAGTGATACTGGGTACATAACAGTGGCTCTCAAAAGTGTTCGGTACACTTATGATTTTCATTGAAATAGGGCTCTATCCATTAATTAAAAGTAAACTTTCTGAATGAGATTTTAGTAATAAGAACTATAATCTATTTCTAACAAAATTACATGAAATATTTTTAAAATATAGTGAAACTTTATTTTAAAGAAATTAATAATCAAAAAATGAGAAACATTTTATCTCACAAGTCTTTATACACCGAAATACTTGGATAAAATCAAAATTAGAATTATCATTTGTTGCTTTAATTTTTGCATTGTGGTGGAATTTAAAAAAATGTTTGCTTTAATTTTTTGTTTACTTCATAATATTCTATTTATTATTGAAAAATGGATCACAGTCGTAAAGAAATTACAAACAGCATTCGAAAATTGATAGTTTTTCACCATAGTAGTGGTAAATCAATTCGAAATATTGCTAAATTAGTTAATTTATCCCATTCTACAGTGCAGCATGAGATAAAACGCTTTAAAGAAGAAAATCGAATTGAAAACAAGGTAAGAAAAGGTCAACCGAGAAAGTTAACTAAATGTAATAAGAGATTTATTATTAGAAAATTTGTAAAAAACCTGTGTTTGAATGCTGCATAAGTTTCTACAGAATTTAATGCAAAGTTTTCTACTTCAATTTCACATGAAACTGTTCGACGAGTTCTCAGAGAAGCTGGATTACATGGGCATTATGTCCATAAAACATTTTTTGTTAGTGAAAAAAAACAGAAAGCTTAGGCTTTCATTCGCAAACTCGACGATAAATACACCCGAAACGTACTGGAATAATGTCCTATTTGCTGGCAAAAGCAAATTCAATATTTTTGGTTCTGATGGTCAAATAACTGTACGAAGAAGAAAAAATGAGGAACTTCATTCTAAGAACTTAGTTGGAACAGTTAAGCATGGCAGTGGATGTGTTCTTGTGTGAGGATGCATGGCAGCATCAGCATACATAATTTGGTATTTATTGATGGCATAATGGTGGTGTATTTAATTATGGCAAAGCACACGAGAGCTATCTGCCTAAAGGGAGGGATGCCTTTCGTGGAGGACTTTCTAAGGGAAACTGGCTCGTATACACGTTACACATGGGCAAAACCACGAAAACGCCCATGCAGCCAGCCCGTTCGCGGGATTCGAACCTCAGACCGAACTATCAGTGTTCAGCGTCTTTACCGCTCGGCCGTTGGTGGGCCGATGGCATAATGAAGCATTCTTTATTTAAATATTTTAAAAGTCAATTTAAAATTATCAGCCAAAAATTTGGAAAATTAGAAACAACTTTATTTTTAATCACGATAACGATCTTAAGTATATGGCTCTCAATGTTCGCCAGTGGTTATATGTTCACAGGATTTGAAAACACCACCTCAGTCGCCAGATTTAAACCTCATAGAACACATTTGGAAAGAACTGGAGGTTAAAGTACGAAAACACAACATCAAAACGAAAAGCAAACTCAAAACAGTCATGACGGAAGAATGGATGAACATTGATACAGAAATTACAAAAAAACTAGTAAAATCTATTCCCAGACGTTTAAAAGCTGTTATGAATGCTAAAGGATATCCTACTAAATATTAATTTAACAAACAAATGAAAATATTTACTAATATGTCAAGATATTTTTTTAGTGTATGAAGACTTTTATGAGATATAATGTTTTGTCATTCATGATTTTTTGATTACCAATTTCTTAAAAATAAAGTTTCGCTATATTTTAAACTATTTCACGTAATTTTGTTACAAATAGATTATAGATCTTATTATTAAAATCTCATTCAGAAAATTTACTTTTAATTAATGGATAGAGCCCTATTCCAATGAAAATCATAAGTGTACGAACACTTTTGGGAGCCACTGTGTGCACAAAAGTAAAGTCGACCTGATGCTGCTAACAGTGTGATGTATAATTTAGATGGGTCTGAGATAAAAAAAGAAAATCAGAATTAAATTTCAATGTAGTCTAAATGTTTATTTACTGATTCCAAAAACTATAGTGAAAAATTCAAAATATGCATTTTTATGAAACTAAAATATATATCTAAATTAATTGTTACTGCATAATGAGTAAGTTATTCATTAGAAAATCCCATTCCCTGTGAATTATTAAAATCTGAAAATATATTAAATTTAGACTTTGATTATTAACATTTACTTACTTTATTCTGCTTGGCATGCAGCGATTCAAATTTTCAATTTTTACATAATAACAGACATTTATTAACCTTAGTGACTATCTAATTTCTCACATGTTTCTCCTTAAAAGTCAAACTTTAATTTTTAACAAAGTAACATATTACCCATTAAAAATCTTATTTTAGGGCTTCAGTTATAAGGTATTTTCTCTCTCCTTCCAGCATGCAATGATAGCACATTGTGTATTTGAGGGGTACCAGGCTTGAGTCCTGGTGAGGGCATTTCACATTTTGTGCTTCAAAATAACCTTTATGTTTCTACACAGTTAAATAGTGATCCTCTATATCAGAAAGATGCAACAAGGAGAAAAAAATCACAATTAATGGAAAATTTAATTTATTAGCAAAGCATAAAATATTTGTGTGCATCACGAGTTGCTTAAAAAATCAAATTCCTAAATCGGTGATGGCAAAACATCCAGAGTTGCCGATGGAGATAAAAAATTGTATAATACAAAAATATTTGTCTCTTGTAACTACTTCATCATTCTCAATATGTGCTGCACTTACCTTGGATGCATTGGCAGATACAGTCCCAGAGTTAAAATATGGATTTCCAGATTAACCCAAAAGGTTAGCCATCACTGTCCTAGATCTGTAGTTTGAGATTTTATTTCAAACTTCCATTCTAGTGGCATGTGCAGGAGTTCTGACTTACCATATAATATCCCTGCAACCGTCTTGAGCATATGTTATATTACTCATTTTTAAAGTTCCAGATTCATAAATCTAGCAGACTTATGAGAGTTTTTCAACAAAGCATGACAATCTTATAAGCAAGATAATTTTTAATTTTCATGAAAAATATTTTTATAGTATTGCATAGAAATGAAATAAATAAGGAGGACTATTATTATTTAGATTTTACAAATTTCAGATTTACAGGGTAGTAATGTAGATTTTCCTTTGTTAAGCAGCAAATAAATTCTACCCCCCTTCCTTGAAAAAGAAGAATCTATGTGAAAATGCACCTACAAGAATTTTATATAAAATCTACACCAATCCAGAGTTATCAATTTTTATAAAAATTACTTCACTCATTGGTGAAACAATTTTACAAATAATGTTCATTTGTATTATTATAGGCATTTATATTATTGATATATTAAAAAAATATTTCTAATGAATTACAGAATTTTATGATAAAATTCTCAAAATTCATTAGAAATATTTTTAGAAATACAGAATTTATGATAAAATTCTCAAAATTCATTAGAAATATTTTTTTAATATATCAATAATATAAATGCCTATAATAATACAAATGAACATTATTTGTAAAATTGTTTCACCAATGAGTGAAATTAAGAAATATTATTTAAATTTTCATAGAAAACGTACTGTTTTGCAAAAACTTGTAAACATCTTGAAGTTGATTATGTTGATATTTTCATTAGATCTCATCAAAGAGTTTCATATTTTTCTATCAGAATGTTTTAAAAATCAATATTTCATTATAAAATGTCTGTATACATCTAGGTTCAGCAAAGAATTTTGTGTAGCTGGTACTCTTTTCATTCAAACTTTTCACCCTTGGGATCTTTTGTATTCCAAACTTTTGTATACTGTAGTTCTAAATTTGATGTACTTTGAGGTAATTATCTCACAATTTTGTGCATTTGAAACCACCCATTCAATTTTGAGATTAAATGGACAAATACTACACACTTAGTAATAAACATATATAATATATGTTTATTACTAAGTACTACTATTTATATTAATTAGTTCACCCGAGTTTTAAATAAAATTAATTTTTTTATGATTTATATTTTAGGTTTTATGCATTAAGATATATAATTTTTCTTAAAGCCAATTAATTCTTAATTAAAAGCCATGTCAAATACACTTATGGTCAACGTAGCATAATTTCAGCCTATATTTATGAAAATTACCTCATTCAAATTTACAAGATTTTGATTTAACAGACTATAAAATTAAATAATTCCCCAAAAAAGTCTCATAACAATTACTATACAAATGACAAGACATACAAGCACATTAACAACTGCTTTTATTGTACAAAATTTTGCTAAACATCAAGAATCAGGAACATACAACATACATAAATGTACAAGTGGAAAGAAACCCAAACAAATGTTGCTTTTCCAGGCACACAGTATAAAATGTCTTAAAAAAATAAAATTAAACATCTTTCAAGTCATCAGGCAGAGGCAGTTTTGGGTGTTTATTTTCAAAATGTTGCTTGTATGTTTTGGGATCTGGCATCTGTGCCTAAAAGAAAAAAAAAAAAAATTCAGATTTCTTTCTTTAATGAAGAAATGCCAATCATAAAATCATCAAATCCTCAAAATTTCAAAGCAAAATTAAAATTAATTAAAAAAGCATAACTTTTTAAATTTTAATATTGTTTTCCAGACTGACAATGTGATGGAAACTACAAGATTTAAATAAATAGTTATTACAAATTATTGCACTCCATTAATGACATTCAAATAATTTAAAAAGGGATTCACTGCACAAGTGACTGCTTTAAAGTATTAAAAGCAATATTTACTTCTAAATTTCTGGATATGAATCTTTAATTAATTTTAATTTTTTAAATAGTATATCACACCTGCCAACCTCTAAAGATAAAAATTCAGAAGATTTCTCCAAAATACAGAAGAACACGAAAAATTAATATCATGCTTTGATATTACAAAAATAATTTATACAAATAGAAAAAAGAAAATTGTACTTACATTAGTAAATCTCAATTAAGCAGTAACTAAAAAATTTATTAGGAAACATAAAACAAGAATTTAATGTTACATAAAAAAATTATTGCAATGAATTTAGAGTGCATTTTTTGGCTTTAGCCAAAAATTCTTTGGAAAATTTCCTGTCATAACATTTAGCAATTAAAATGTTTTCTAGAGTTTTTGGTGAAATTGAAGAACGAAACATAGTTTTGTTTTTCTTCACAACACTGAAGACTCTCTCGCACTCAGCATTACTGTGTGGAATGACATCGGCATCCGAATTCATAGCCGAATTTGAAAAAATCATCCACTTTCTTTGACGTTGTCGAAGCCGAAGCATTAACTTCATGCTTTTTAGACTTAACATGCTTCACAATGTCGCTTCTTCCACCGTGACTTATTATGAAGTCACACACGCACATGTTGCAAAATGCATAGTTATTTCCTTTGAAGGATTCTTTAATTGTTGGAAATTCGGCCTTGTAGGCAGGCCGAAAATATTGAGAATACGTTTTTTTTTTTAACTCATTTCGTAACAACAACGCATTAAGGAAAAAAAAAAAAAAAAAAAGAGAGAGAATGCGACAATCCACGCTCGCTGAGTAATTCCCTTGCTGCTGAAGCAAACACGAAAAAAAATAATCTGGCGCCCACAAAGAAAAGAGTGGGAGAAACAAGTTCAGTGCATTGGATTGGCTGGTTAAGCGGCGAGTTGGGAGAAACCGCAGGTTACTGGATTCGAAGTAGTCGGTAGTAAAACACGATGCAATTGGAGAAAATCGCTGAATTGGCGAAAAATTCTAAAATTTCGACAAAAATTACTAAAAACACTGGGAAAAGGGAAAAAATCGTAAAAAATGGATTACGATCGTAAAATCGTAAAAACAAACGCATTTTCGTAAAAATTACGAAAAATTCATAAAAGTTGGCAGGTATGGTATATGCATCCTGAACACTGGAAAAAATATACCACTTGGTTAATGGTATTAACGATGATAACTACTCTTTTGTTTTTTGTCACATTAATACTCTTTTACATTGAACTTCCTTTTCCAGCAAACATAATCTGTTATGTTAAATAACTAAACAAAATTTACAACTCAATTTTAATAAATGGTTTGCCTAATACAAAATATTTTAGAAAGCATTTTTGATAAACCATTACAAAAGGCACATTAAAATAAAAGTATTTTTCAACAATTTTAATTCAGACATAAAATTTTACCAAAAAGAATAACTATTTACCTTGCAGACAGTGCAGACATAAGTTAGTGCTTTTTGCGCGGCAGCTTTCTGATCATGGCCTTGCTGCCTTTTTAAATCATTGGCTCTTTTGGCAGCTTTTTGCTGGGATTGGATTTTCTGTTGTCCTCGAGCCATGGCCTGGAAAATTAAAATACATTAGTAATGAACATCATAAAACTTGACACACACACACACACACACACACACACACAACAAAAAAAAAAAATAAAATAAAAATAAAAAAAAAAAACATCGACTGGTACTGTTCTGTTACCAGAACCAGATACTGCCAAAAGCTGACGATACGGTGAAAAATTCGAAGGATAAAAAGAATCACCTAAATATGCATGATATGGATATGTTTAAGAAAAATCCAAATAAAAAAAATCATACACAAAAATGGGGGGTAATCATTTAGCGAATTAAGATTAATGTAGTTATGAAACTGCAGATATTATAAAAAATAAACATTTGCTTGCCTCCACATAAAACTCAATTAAAATGTTTTAATTAATTGGTGTTCTGGGCTGATATTTACTTTGCCAGTTTTCATTCTCCATACCCTTTTTTTCAACAGTTTGTGTATGACAACCAGTAGTGGGATTGATAAAATTATATTTATGGTTAATGAAGAATAGTTCAAATCCAGCCACTGTTAATTCTTCAGTGTGATACCTTTTCCAACAGTCTGAGTATATTACAGTGCCATCAATAATATTTTTTCCAATAAATGGTTCTGACAAAGTTCTAGCAGAGTGGTTAGGCACAGCAACTAAAAAAACATTCTTTTGTTCTTCCTCAAATTCCGCCGTACACCCAATGAGGTGGTGGAAGGAGAAGAGCAACGTCTTTTTTTTTTTCAATACAACCAGTGCTGCTTATTTTAATTGACAGTTTAGACATCTATGCATGGCCATACACTTCCCTCATACAAACTTTTCCAATTAACAACAGTGCAATGATTCATATTAAGTTGATATAATTACGAGGGCCATCCAGGAAGTAGATTACGTTTCCGTCTGTGTCCGCTAGGGGCGGGGCTAGCGCGGCCATCTTGGGGTCAGAGCGTTGCGCAGCTCAGTCTGCATCTAGCCGTGCTAGTGAGAGGTTCGTACTGTGCTCCGTTCAGATACTGTGACGGTTTGAAATGTCTGCGTTAATTGAAAATCCCGCGAGCTGCGAGGTGCGCTCAGTAATAAGGTTTCTGACTGCAAAAAACTGTAAACCGATAGAAATCTATCGGCAGCTTCGTGAAGTGTATGGGGACAACATTATCACTGAAGGTGGAGTGCGTCAGTGGGTCATAAGATTTCAAAATGGCCGAACCAATGTTCACGACGAAGATCGAAGTGGGAGACCCAGCATAGTGACCGCCGAACTTCTCGAAAAAGTCGATGCTAAAGTCCGTGAAAATCGAAATTTCACAATAACGGAACTTTCTTTGAGTTTTCCACAAATTTCGCGAAGTTTGTTGCACGAAATCATCAGCGAAAAGCTTGGTTACCACAAGTTTTGTGCAAGATGGATTCCAAAAATCTTGACAGAGGACCACAAAAATCAGCGAATGGCTGCAGCGTTGAACTTTTTGGACGCTTACCATAAGGATGGTGACTCTTTACTCGATCGCATCGTTACTGGTGACGAAACATGGGTGAAACATGTGAACTGTTTAAACGAAATTGCAATCAATGCAGTGGGGGCACACAAGTTCTCCCCAAAAACCCAAGAAATGCATGCAAACAATGTCGGCAAGGAAGATGATGGCGACTGTTTTTTGGGACAGAAAAGGTGTAATTTTGGTGGACTTCCTGGAAAGAGGCACTACAATAAACTCTCAAAGGTATTGCCAAACTCTCCAAAAACTCAGAAGAGCAATTCAAAACAAGCGCAGAGGAATGTTGAGCTCTAAGATCTTGTTGATTCACGACAACGCCCGGCCCCACACGGCAAATGTCACTCGTAAAGTTCTTGAATCTTTTAAGTGGGAGTTGTTTCCTCATCCGCCGTACAGTCCCGACCTGGCACCGAGCGACTTCCACCTATTCCCAGCAATGAAGAAGTGGCTGGCTATGCAGCGTTTTGATGACAACGCACAGCTGCAAGAAGAGGTAACGAAGTGGTTGAAGGCGCAGGCGGCCGAATTTTTCGACGAAGGAATTTCCAAGCTCGTACATCGCTACGATAAATGCCTTAATTTGTATGGTGACTATGTAGAAAAGTAGTATTTGAGTGTGGCTTTCATCTGTATATAATAAAATTTGTTTCCTATACTTTGTTTATTTTTTTATTCCAAAACGTAATCTACTTTCTGGATAGCCCTCGTACAATTGATTAATAAATACAAGAGAAGTTAATTCTAAACATCAAGCAATACATAAATGAAAGGAACTAACATTAAGAAACTAATTTTCATCTCTTCAAATAAAATTTGAGAACATAATCCTTTTATTTTTTACAGCACAGCCTATCATCATATCTCCATTCCAGTGCTTCAGTCAAACTGAAGTTGAGCTTCATTTTAAGATTTTTCATGCACTTTCTTACAGAGTAAATAATTCTTTGTTCCTGAAGAAATTGTATGGAAGATGTTTCATCGTTAGATAAATCTCAAATTTTCATATTCATGGTAAATACTATAACAGGGTTTGTATACATTTCTGCACAAGGAAATTAAGTACTTTTAATATGAAAAAAATTAAAGATCTATGAGCAAATGGAAACTGAATAAACTCAATTTAAAATATTATCAATGCCAGAACACTCTTGTAATACCATCCTAAAAATAAAATAGATCCGTAAGTAGGATGCATTATTATTAAACATAAATTAACATAATTAGTAATAAGTTTGAGAATAAAATAAACTTTATGAAATTTATCAAGTAGCATTAAGTATTTTACATTTATAATAGTTAGACATATTTTAAAAAATAAGCAACATTTTATTTATGTTTTTACTAACAATTAGCTTTCTGTTGATTTGTCTTTTATGTATCATTTTGTCACATACTTGCTCAATCTAGAGGATTAGTAAATAGCTGGTAGATTTTATGTCAAATGGCATAGGTTAAAATGAGAAGTAAAATCATAATCAGCATGATTCAAAACAAAAGACTGACTGTTGTCACTGCTGCTGCTTGCCTAGAGAGAGACCTTCTTATCAGAACAAACCTTTATGACCTGATGTAGGCATGGTTAGCAAGATTTGAAAGTTAGGGTCTGTCTGATGCAGTTAATGCCGCAGCTTCGTCTAGAGTTCCAAGGGTTGTAACCCAGTTCATATACTTTAAGGTTTCAATAAGCCACTAAAGCACCAGAGGTGATAAGTTGTTTTGTATTATTTTAAGTCTCACTAGATGCAAAGAATAAATTTTACATGAATTTATACATTTTTGTGTTTTATCTTGCAACCACAGTAAAGATTAATGAAAGGTAATAACTCGCTTTAATAGGCAGAGATATTTTTAAGAGTAAGCAATTAGTTATAAGTAATTAAATAAGGTAGTTAGATAATTTTAGTCATTATGGATTTACATGCCCACTATTAAATTTTATTTATGCATCTTTTTAATTTGAAGCTTTGCCAGACATTTTGGCTAATTTATATAGATTTCTTTCCTTTTAAGCATCTTTTCTAACAATTAGAAATAGTGCCCTCATTAGTTTCTGTGTGCTTTAGCTCCTAACTAGTCAACTTCTCTACAATGTACTTATGAAGATTTACTTGATCTAGTAAAAGTAAAATAGTCCAAAACCACCCGACAGATGTGAAGCAAATTATCGCCATGTCTGAAAGTAACTACAAAGTTAGATAAAGGTTTAAATTAACCTCTTATTTAAAAAGAACTTAGATCACTAAGACATACTCTGATGCTCAATTACAGCTTGTTATGAGGTAATTAAACCAGAACAGTCAAATTCAAACTAAAAATGCAGACTATACAAAATGTCAAAAACTATATAATTTAATTTTCATTTAAGCTGGCTCAGTAGCTCTATCATCATAACAAATTCAAATGTCGGCAGCGATAATGCAAAGACAAATAATTACAAATTATCAGAGCTGGCAGGAACTAATGCAGCGAGCAAGCGGAGATCAGAAACACACACTGCCTTACATTCCAAAAACCTCAGTTTAAAAACTGTTTAAGCTATTTGCATTCTGGTGAAGAAATAGAAATGGGAAATTATAACTGGGTAATTTACATAATAATTATATATATCTTTGAAGAATAATTTTAGTATCCAGTTTCTTTCTTCAACATGTTTCCTTTTCATTTCAGAATTTTTTGGATTTAATTAAAGATTTATGTTATTCTAAAAAAACTAAATGCATTTAGAATATATAGAAAAAGCTGCTAATTTTATTTCTTTAGTAATATGAACATTCAGAAGAAATATGAAATATATATGGTAAGGGCTAGGTGCAGAGCTGGTGTGGCAGAATCTTTAGAATTTAGCAACACATTGAACAACAAAATCTAGGAATGGCAAAACTTTCAGAACTTATAGCAGGCACTGGAAACAGAATTTAGAAAGGCACTAGGCAGCAGAATCCAGGATCCACAGAGATTGCATCAAGTGGGAAAATGCCCAGTGCCAGCCTTGTGTATGATGCATTAAGACATATTAGATGAATCTTTTAAAGTGTCAGTTTAAAATTTTTTTATCGATAAAAAACTTCCTTTCTATAATACCTGTCCATGTGATAAGTTTAGAAGCATTTCTGATATTTTCGATGCTTGAGTCTAGTGAAAAGTAGAGAAAATAAAGGGAAGATAAACATGTTAAGAAAAAGATTCTAGTATCAGAAGTAAAACATTCAAATATTAGGTTTTTATTGTTCTTTCAGATGCTCTCCAAAAAGTAAGAAAGTAAAGTACTCTCCAAAAAGTAAGAAATTAATCACAAACTTTCTGTAAAATACATCCATTACGTGTTAATACCATAGAGACATGTTTCATTTTATCACCTTTTTCTTAAACTTTTAGTCGTGGGTCTAAAAATCTTGCGTTCTAAACTTTACAAGCTGCAATGTATAAAATCCTAAAGAAAAATTACCCATACCAATTCTTTAACAGCAAAAAGCTAGAAATATTTTTCTTTTCGAGGGGGGAGGACAGAAAAAGTGTAAAATTA